CCCCAAAACCCCAAAACCCCAAAACCCCAAAACCCCAAAACCCCAAAACCCCTTCTTTGCTTTAAATTATTTAAAATCAATAAAACTAAAAATAACTAGTTCCAATGGAAGGCCTTATGCAGAACCCTGACCAAGCCGAGCAAAATGAGATTACCGATGAAGAAATAGACTCCAAAATATGTGGAGAACTAATGGACAAAGTCGAGCAACTAAACGAATATGTCAATGATGTCCAGGGAGAACAAATCATTCAAGTCAGAGTCCAGCAACTGGCACTTTGAAAAGTTCTTGTGAATATTCACAAAAAGGACATGTTCATATTGGTTAAAGCCTATTGATCACTTGGAGAAGCTTACTTATCCCAAAAATACTACGAGCAAGCTCTTGACCATTTGACAAATGCTCTAAAGCTGAATGGTACTTTATTCTCCCAATTCGAAGAAACTAAGAAATTCCATGCTTACATTTTGACCTTGCTAGGAAAATGATATATGGAAGCTGGCTCCCTGAACGATGCCCTTGGCCTCTTAGAGAAATCACTAAAAATGAACAAAACTGTACTTGGAGAGGAAGACATTTCCAATGCAAGTATATACCTGACCCTTTCCAAGGTATACTCCAAAAAGAAGGACTATGACAAAGCATTGAACCAATTATCAAAAGCTTGGGAGCTAACAGAGACCAAGTTCGGAAAAGACTCAATAGAGATAGCCCAAGTCTACATTGACATGGCCAAGGTTTACCATAAAAAGAAGGAATATGAAGAAGCCATTGAACACCAACTGCACGCAGTTAATAATTTCAGGAACAGAGAAGAGGACTATAACCAGGAATCAACTGCCAAAATGATGATTACCCTCAGTGAATGGTACTCCAAAGTAGAGAAACATGAAGACGCCATCACATGGCTCAGAGAGACAGAGAAGTTGTATGAATACATCTATGGTGGCCTTGACAAGAAAACCACTAAGATTAAAAGAGACATCGCCTTGCTCCTCCTCAAAGATGGAAAGTACGATGATGCATTGGAAGAAGTACTCCAAGTTGAGGAGAAAGAGAGGCAACTCTATGGAGAGACCTCACTTCAACTAGGAAAGACATATAAGCTCATTGGTACTCTCTATATCCTTAGAAGGATGCAGAATGAGGCCAAGGCATACTTACAGAAAGCTCAGACCATATTTGAGCTAAAAGGAGCTACAAAGCTGCTAAAAGAGGTTAAGACTAAACTAAATATGGCCAAAAATGGTTCAAGAATGGACCACCAACTCGCTGGTGAAGAGCATACCGATGAAGGTGCTTCAGAAGATATAGAAGTAGAAGAAAGTAATAAGAAACTGAAGAAGAAAAAGAAGAAGGGAGTCTCTAAGAGTAAAAAGAAGAAGACCATTATAAGGAATAATTTTATGGGCTAAAGATGCCTTGTTCAATTATTCCTTCTCGAATTGGGGTTTTGGGGTTTTGGGGTTTTGGGGTTTTGGGGTTTTGGGG